CCCGGCCCCGAGCGCCGTTCCCGGCCCCGGGCCCCCGCTCCGCCGCCCGTTGTTGGCCCCGCTGCCCCCGGGCGCCGTTCCCGGCCCCGCCGCCCGCAAGTGTGACAAGAGAGGCAAGACCTGGAGAAACGTGTTCAAATGGAAGGAGATTGGGTTCGGATGGGATATTGGGAAGAAATTCCTCCCTGTGAGGGGTTGGAGTGGATTTCCCCATCCCTGGGAGTGTTTTGGAGCAGCCTGGGATAGGGGAAGGGACTGGAGAGGAATGAGTCCCGGCGAGAGCCCCGGAGCGGCACCGGGTACCAAACACCGGGCACCGGGCACCAAACACCGGGCACCAAATACCGGGCACCAGGCACCGAGTATCGGGCACCGAGCACCAGGCACCAAACACTGAGCACCGGGCACCAAACACCGGGCACCAAATACCGAGCACAGGGCACCAAACGCCGGGCACCGGGCACCAAACACCGAGCACCGGGCACCGAGCCCCGGTCAGGGCGGGGCCGGGAGCGGCGGCGGCGGGGCCGGGTCTATGTGGAGCGCGGTGGACGGAGGCGCGAGAGTCACGGTGGCCGAGTGGTTAAGGCGTTGGACTCGAAATCCAATGGGGTTTCCCCGCACAGGTTCGAATCCTGTCCGTGACGCCACGCTCACTTTTGCTGGTGGGGAACACACGCGGAGCTTTCCCGGTACCGGCGGACACGCCCTTGCTCCTCCGGTACCGGTTAAATACACCCTGCTCCTCCGGTACCGGCTCTTTTAACGGCGGGAGCATCACGGATCCCCCCAGCCCCGGCACCGGCTCTTTAAGGGGTGGGAACAGTGGGGGACCACCCCCCAAATTCCTGGCTCTTCTAACGGGGATAACCACAGGGATCCTCGCTCGGTACCAACTCCTAACAGCGCGAGGATCAGAGCCCCGGTACCGGTTCTTTAAGGGGTGGGAGCAGCGGGGACCCCCCAGCGCCGGTACCGGTTGTTTTTGGGGTGGGAGCAGCAGGGACCCCCCTCTAATGCTGGCTCTTTTTGGGGTGGGAGCAGCAGGGACCCCCCTCTGATCCCGGCTCTTTCTGGGGTGGGAGCAGCGGGGACCCCCCCCTCTGATCCTGGATCTTTCTGGGGTGGGAGCAGCGGGGACCCCTCCTCTGATCCCGGCTCTTTCTGGGGTGGGAGCAGCGGGGACCCCCCCCCAGCCCCGGTACCGGCTCTTTAAGGGGTGGGAGCAGCAGGGCCCCCCCTCTGATCCCGGCTCTTTAAGGGGTGGGAGCAGCAGGGCCCCCCCTCTGATCCCGGCTCTTTAAGGGGTGGGAGCAGCGGGGACCCCCCCCTCTGATCCTGGATCTTTCTGGGGTGGGAGCAGCGGGGGCCCCTCCTCTGATCCCGGCTCTTTCTGGGGTGGGAGCAGCGGGGCCCCCCCCCCAGCCCCGGTACCGGCTCTTTAAGGGGTGGGAGCAGCGGGGACCCCTCCTCTGATCCCGGATCTTTTTGGGGTGGGAGCAGCAGGGCCCCCCCTCTGATCCCGGATCTTTTAAGGGCAGGAGAAGCTGGGACCCCACTCTGTTCCCAGCTTTTTGGGGACAGGCTCGCCCTTTTTGGGGAGCACATCTGGGGGGCTTCAGGGCTGTGGGAACCCACCTCAGCCACCCCCATTGCCTCCCAGGAGTGACATTTATTGATCCCCAGATCCCCCCAGGATGGGGAGATCACCCCCAAACTCACCCATTTTTACCCCAGGACTGAGCCCCCCGACATGGGAAGGGTTTTGGGGCGCAGGAGGAGGCCCCCAAAGCAGGGATAAAGCAACCAGAATTCTGTTTATTGATCACTTCAATCCCTGCCTCCTGCCGGATCCACAGGGACCGGCACTGGAGGAGAAACAATGGTAAAAAAAAAAAAAAAATAAATTCCAACAAAATAAATGTAAATAAATTAAATTCCCAACGAGTCCCAGGGACCCAGGCCAGAGGCGCCTGCCCACGGTACTCGGAAAATCAAAAAGGGGGAGTAAAAATGAGAAAAGATCAAGGAAAAAAAAATAAAAGTATATTAAAAAAAAAAATAAAATAAAAAAAATACAGAACCACAATCACGAGTGTCTGGAAAAGTAACACCGAGGGCGGAGAAAGCAGAGCCAAACACGGATTGGGAGGAGGTGGGAGATGCCCGGGGGGATCCGGTGGCTCCCGGGGCCAGGGAATGGGGCATGCACGAAGCGAGGGGGGACAGGAGGGTCCCCAAGGCCAAGGACCCCTCACTCCAGGGTCGGTGACACCACCAGCACCCCACTTGGGGACGCCGAGCGAGGTGGAAATCCCAGAGGGGACGAGGAGACGGAGCTGTCCTGGGTGGGGGCACCGGGTGTGAGGCAGGATTTGGGGGGGGACCCCCGAGAGGGTCTGGCAGTGCGTGGAGCCCCCGCTCCCCCTCTCTCCTTGAAACAGAGAAGGAGCCGAGACGGCTTTCAAACAACTCCAGTCAAGCGGAGAACCCTAAAACCCGAGTCCAGGCCATCCCCGCGGCTCCGAGACCCGTTGCTCTTATCAGATCTCCTCCACGCCGTGAGCGAAAATCATGACGAGCCCCGGCTCCAGCACCATGTCCTCGCCCATGTGCTGGTTCTCGCAGGCCATCACCACCACGGCCTGCTTGCCGGGGATGCGCTTGGCCACGTAGTTCTCGTAGTAGCGCCGGTTCATCTGGCGCGTCTCCAGCGTGGCCAGCCCCTGCGGCCAGTTGCGCTCGTGGGCGTTCTCGATCAGCTCGTTGGTGATGGACGCCGGGCAGCCGCTCTCCACCAGCGAGCGCTTGATGACCGCCTGCAGCACCGCGTCCGGCGTGGAGATCATGCCGCCCCAGCGCGTCACCCGCGCCGGCTGCAGCGAGTTCACCCACCTGCGGGGACACATTGGGGGGTTTGGGATTCTGGGATTGGGGAGGGTCACCCACCTGTGGGGACACATTGGGGGGTTTGGGATTCTGGGATTGGGGAGGGTCACCCACCTGTGGGGAAACACGGGGGGTTTGGGATTCTGGGATTGGGGAGGGTCACCCAGCTGGGGACAGAGGTTTTGGGGTGAAATCCTGGAACTGGGGAGGGTCACCCACCTGCGGGGACACA